TTCCTCTGTATTCTCCAGAAATTCTTCCCAAAATGAACTTGAAATGATCTCCGGAATTTCCTTGAACTTTTCCCCGATATCCCTTTGGAAATTCATTCAAAATTTGATTCTCTCGATATTATTTTTGAAATTATCTTGCAGCTATCTGCAGGATTTGCTAGAAATTATTTGCAGAATTTTCATGGAATCATCCCCAGAAATCTTTTCTTTTGGAACTTCGTTTCAGAATTCAATGCCCTTGAGGTTCTTCTCGGAAGTCAAGTTTAAGTTGCCCGTCCATTCACCAAAACATTATAGTTTTTCTACCAGAAATGTTCAATAAAGCTTGCCCCTCCATTCAACAGAACTGTGCAATTTTTACATCAGGAATTTTCAATTCAGCTAGCCCCTCCTTGCAGCAGATTGAATCTTACACCAGAAATTTTCAATACAAACTTGCCCCCAGAAAATTTAACAACAGGAAATTTCAATTGACCAGAACGATGCAAATAATTCACCGTTAAAAAAATGGTTCTCCAATCTTCTGATTGGTGCAGATTTCCTTTTTTCCATTTTCCACCAGACATTTTCAATATAGCTTGCTTCTCCTGTTATCAGAATGTTGCAGGTTTTCCACCAAATAAAACTTGCCCCTATTTTCGGATTTTTCAGCATAAATTTCCAGTAAAGCAGCTTCCCTCCAATCATAAGAATGGAGCAAATTTTACACCAGAAATTATAATTAAAGTTTGTTCCTCTATTGAGCAAAAGGATGCAAATTTTAGACCAAACATTTTCCGAAAAGCTTGCCCATCCGTTCACCAGAACGGTGCAGATTTTCCTCCAGAAGTTTTCAGTATAGCTTAATTTAAATAAAGCTTGTGCCTTAATTGACCAGACCAGTACAAGTTTTCCACCAGAAATTTTCTGTTAATTTCATTTATCAGAAATTTTCAATAAAGCATTCTCCTCCATTCACCAGAATGGTGCACCAACAATTGTCAGTGAAGTTTGTTTTACCATGCACTTTTGTGGTGCAATTCTCAGGCACCAGAATGGTGCAAATTTTCTACCATAAATTTTCAATGAAGCTTGCATTCATCAGAACGATGAAAATTATGCACCAGAAAAAATGAATAAACCTTGCTTCTACATTCACCACAGTATTCCGAACGTTCCACAAGAAATATTCAGTTAAATGTGCACCTCCAAATTTTTAGCGTGTTTCAATTTTTCCACCAGGGTTATTCATTTTGATAAGTCCCTCCATGATTGATGATATTTTTACACCAGATATTCAATAAAAAGCTTTCTCTTCGATTTACCACCATGAAGGTGAATTTTTTCAACCTTAAATTAACCCTCTTCTTTTATCCCTCCATGAACCGCCTTGAAAAAAAAAAATTACAACAGAATTTTTTTGTATGCACCACTGTGGTGCAATATTTTGACCAAAAAAATTCATAGAAGTTTGTCCCTTCATGTACCTTTATGGTGCAATTTTCAGACACCATCTCAATGGAATTGACGCAAGAAAAGGTTTACAGTGTCCTTATAGTATGAAATGAAGTTATCAAGAAAACAAGTTATTTTATATCGTAATTTGGAAATGTGGAAATGAACATCTTATTTATAAAAGGAGGGGCAATTGACCACCCCCCCTCCCCCCCCACCTTGCCCCACCCTGTGCACCCCAGTGTGTCTGCACACGGCGAATGAGAACGACCCAATTTGAGTTTAGTTCGATCATAATCGCCAAAAGTGCAGGAACTCAGCGATGAGTAAATTTGTCTCATGTTTTCCCAGGTTTTTCCAGGATTTTCCAGGGGAAAATTCCCGAATTTGAGAAAAGTAAAGATTGGATTCACTCAGTCTATTGGTACTACTCCGAGACTGGATCGTTCTCATTCGCCATGCACATTTTTTTGCATTAATATAATTTTGTGCCAGTACAATTATACTCTAAATACAGGGAAATCGAGTCAAGAACGAGAAGATTCCAGTTAACTGTCACGCAGCGGTCGAGAGAAGCGTGAACTCATTAAATAATAATCACTATTTGCAAGCAAAAATATCCATTTGAATTTATATTGCATTGAAGATTTTTCTAGCTCGTTTCGAAAAAAATATTTCAAGCGAGAAAATTAATCGAAATAAATTGCAGTTCTAGATTACGTTAAAGGGTGATACGGTCAAAATTTGGTCAAGGGAAAACGCGTGTAAATCGGTGAAATCGTTTATTTAAAAAATTAAATTAAATTTCTTTTTCATGTTCAATTAGTATAAAATTCAGGAAAAATATTCAGTTAGGCTTCCGCTTTTCCAAATCCGAATTGCCGGGCCTTACGCTTGACCCCTGCCATCAGATTTAGTACAGCCACCTTCTTCGCCGCAGAAAGCCAGTTTGCCTTGAACTGCTGCTCGCCCTTAGCAGTTTTTTTGGTCTTCTTTAGGTTCCGCTTGACAATAGCCCAGTATTTCTCAATTGGGCGGAGCTCTGGCGGGTTCTTGTCCTTGGGAACCACCTGCACGTTGTTGGCGGCGTACCACTCCATGGCCTTTTTACCGTAATGGCAAGATGCCAAATCCGGCCAAAACAGTACGGAACAACCGTGTTTCTTCAGGAAAGGCAGCAGACGTTTATTCAAACACTCTTTCACGTAAATTTCTTGGTTGACAGTCCCGGAAGCTATGAAAATGCTGCTTTTCAAGCCACAGGTACAGATGGCTTGCCAAACCAGATATTTCTTTGCGAACTTTGACAGTTTCATGTGCTTGAAAACATCTGCTACCTTTCCCCTTCCTTTTGCCGTATGAAACTCCTGTTCCGGAAGCTGCTTGTAGTCGGCTTTGACGTAGGTTTCGTCGTCCATTACCACGCAGTCAAACTTCGTCAGCATCGTCGTGTACAGCCTCCGGGATCGCGCTTTGGCCGTCGTATTTTGTTTATCAACGGCTTTCAAGCTCAACTTGCTGCTATCGATGAATAAACGCCATTCAGCTGGATCATATAGCTCACCAAACTATTCAAACAAGCCGTTTACGTCATGGCAAAAACATGCCTTGTCCTTTGTAGAATAATATTTGTCAAATTTCTTGTGACGATTCCTGTGACAAGAAATTTTGACCTCCTTGCTCAGCATGTTGTGTTCTTTCAAGCGTGATGCCAGCAATTCGGATTTCTCCTTCGATAAGTCGAGATCTCGCACCAAATCATTAAATTCGGATTGTGTAAACAGTTTTGGGTTTCTTTCCAATTCCACCTCGAAGTCTTCCTCGCATTCCTCCTTGAATTCCTCCTCACTTTTTGTAACGGTCGATTCAACAGAGGGCGCTCGTTTCCGCTTTGAATAAACAGGATACGGGACCGAACTTGAATGTGGAACAGGTTTTGTCATAGAAGCCACTTGTGGATACTCAACTGTTTTGTGACGTCCTTGTTGCTTAACTTTTGTCAAGCAGAAATAACAATCCGTTGCATGACAAAACGGTCGACGCCATATGGTGGGCATGTCAAAGGACAAATAGCGACTGACAGATAACAAATAAGTGAGTTAGTAAGTAAGACATTAACACTTATCAAAAATAGATGAAGTAAGATAATGTCGATCAGGAAAGAACAGAGCACTACCTTGCTGTACATAAATTGTTTATATGAAAGTTATTCAAAAAATCAATTTACCTTGCGCCTGACATCCACCTAGCCAAGCACGTTTTGCACGAACTACATAATACTTTTGGAATCCACGGTTCGTCAAAGTCTCCAAGATCAATTTTAAAATAAAGCCTGTATGCAGTTTGCAACGAAGCAGTGAAATTGACCGATTTTGTAAATATATAGTTGCCACACGCGTAACAAAACTTTTGAGGATCATTTTTACACTTGAATTCACGTTTTGTCGTATACATCGTTAAGCAATGTTAAAGAAAGAAAGCTGTCAAATTGAGTTGGTTGCGTTAGGTTCTCGCCGAGCGGTCTCACAAACACTAGCGTAAATTATATTGTTGAAAATATCCCATTCAGTTTTGCGTGACAGCTGGTAGTGTTAGTGAAATGCACCGTATGCGTACACGTCCGCAGAAAGGCTTACTGGAAGTGGTGCATGAACCTAGGAGCGGACAACGGCCAATCTTGGAACATTCAATTTCCATGATTTTACAAAAAATTTCATAACTTCGACAATTTCCAACCGACTTCATCCATTAAAGGCTCATTTTCTCCAGTTTTTAATGGACTTTAAGAATAAATTATGGAATGATTTTTTGAATTTTTTATCCCATTAAAAATGTTGATTAAAACAAGATTTTTATGGAAAATTCGCAGGAAAAATAAAACAAATGCTGTAAATTTTAAAATGACTTCAAAATTAAATTTTTAATCAAGACATAATATTCTAGTGAACGATAGTAAATTTATTTAGCTTCACTTTCATAAAAAGATTTAAAATTGGTGCACTAGTTCCAAAGATATTGACATTTTAGTAATCGTACTTTTGTCCAAAATTCAAAAAATCAAAATTTTTGTATATCTCAAAAATGGCTCTACTTTAATTTTTTCTGACCACGGCATTGAATTCAGCGTAGGATTTTGCATTAGAAACGTTGGTCAACCACTTAAGTTCACACTTTTTATGTTGTTTTGTAAACTAGTGTTTTCAACTTCTATTCAATTTTCACACTGCCGTACTCTAGCAGAACAATCAACGTCTTCAGACCTTTCTCTAGCTAATAAATTATCACACTAAAGCTTCATGTTAGATCGCATTTTTAACCAACTCTGATAAATATGTAATTCATTTTCAATCTATAGAATTTCACGAAGATTCGTAGAAGCTCCAGCTGCCATAGCTTAAGGTAAATCTTATTGATCGATAAATATCGAAATTTACTTTTCCTCTAAACTTGATACCAAACTACTTTTCGCAAAGATAAACAACTAAAAATTCAATAAGAAAATATATTAACTACAATAAATAATAGAACAAAAAATAAAACCTTGAACACTTAACCATCATACTTACGAATTGCTTGGTAACACTGTGAGTCCAATCGCCTTCCGAGAAAGAAGCGCGATTTCCGAGATGGGAGAATGAACTGCTGTTGCTACTACATGCTCGGCACCGATGGCAGCCGTAATGGAAAATTGAAAACAGTTTTTCTAAAGCTGGGAAGCTTGCCTTTCATCGATGATCAACTATTATCAACGGAGCACAATGAAAGATAAGCTTTGGACAACGCGGGTGTGTGAACACACGAGTGTATGCATGATTGCGGAGTTTTTAATTTGTGTGGTTTGTCTGAGATAATCATTACTCCTATATTAGTTTCTGTTCTTTCTTTTTTTTTGCTTTTGTTTGTATCGTTTCGTTACCATCGATGCTTTTTAAAAACCGACATATCCGGCAATTGTTGACGCAACCACTATCAGAAGGATGCTCACACATATCAGGATAATGATCTTCTTCTGCTCTCGCGCGGAGATAAAAAATAGTGGCGAATGTTTCGACGCACAATCAGTGTGGAAAAACAAGAAAGAATGAGAAGAAAAGAGAAAGAAACCCAATCGTAATTAGTTGTTATCGAACGAGCTAATGAGGGAAATGAACGGGAGAAAAATATGTCACTACAGTGATATTTATAGACTAAGAACAACACAAATCAGAACCGAGAATCACACAACGGAAGGGAAACGGAAGAGAGTGAAAAAAAAAACTAAAACATGTTTTCATCATTTATCACTTCGTTTATTGATGTTTTTTTTTTCATTGTTTTGCACGCTTATTTTTTTTTTTTTATCGTCTCAATGCGATTGTTTTTCCTCGAGCCAAACAACGGAGTGAGCCGATACGAAAGGAGGAAAAACTGTCGCAGTGAGCCATAGTTGTTTATGTAGTCTCAAGACTCATTAGCTTAAATAAACAACAATCTCTGCGGCGTCGAGGCGTATTATGATACAAAACAAAGTTAAATAAAAAGTAAAGATTCTTGGCCATTCTTTTTTTTTAACGGAAACAATAAAGCTAAGTTTCTGTAATTTACACATTTTTCCTCTGGCTGCTACTTTTAGCCCAGTTCTGTGTTCGGTATCACTTTCAACGCTTATTGCTCACAGATGTTACGAACCGAAAATAGTAATTATAAAATTGATAAAACTAGCATTCTTCATTCGTTCGCACAACACTTACTGATTTTGCTTTGATATTTGTTTTACTTACACGGTCATTCACTTATACAATAAGGTAGTGTGAATAGCAATTAGGGGGAAGGGTGGGAATAGTTTTACATTGGGCGAGACTAAAATAAATGGCGTTTCAAAGGGGGCCGATTTTCCGAAACAAAACTTAAGGTGATATGATGATGCTTTTACATATCTATACACACAAATTGGGCTTTGATTTAAAAGTATGATAAATTACAATATGTGACAATTTTGCGCAAACTGAATTTCAATTCAATTCAACCGGATCTAATTGACAACTAAACGCGGGCAAGGGGGTGGGGTCGGTAAGGAATTGGTAAGGGGTAGTTTTATACAATTTGGTCTGTGATTCAAAACATGATATAAAGGTGATCTCTTTATCGAATAAAAACTCAAATGTTAGATATTTAATATACAGGATGATGGGAAATGCTATTACCGTTTCATTTGAGTGGGATGTTAAGCTAGTCCAGTGTTTGTTTTTAAATGCTCCCTATAGGTCGCTCATATTGACCGGTGATTTATTTCATTATTAATTATGATTTGTCTACAATAAGTTATTAAACATTGCGATAAAATTTGAAAAAGTATACCTTTGTAATTTGTACGGATTTCGGCTATGCAGTCTGACGAGATCAAACGATAAGTTTTTAGCTGCCCCACTTTTCGACCGAAATCCGTACAAACCACCATTCCACAGTCCGAAAACCAAGTTTATACTTTATATTTTTAAAAAAACCTGGCGTTCGTAAAAATTACATCCACGAACAAATGTTTGGACATTTTTGGAGTTATCACCAGTCCCACTAATAAATCTAACCTAACCTAACCTAACCTGGAGTAAACCCATTCTCGAATGGAGTCTTAACAGGAAATGAATGATGGATTTTATGGGGCGTATCAGTTTAAGAATCAAATTCGGTTCGGTTTCCGGAGTTTTACCCTCGCAGTATTTAGAATACAGATTTATGCTTTTTTATAAACCTATACAGTAAATAACCAATTTTGATTAAGCATATTAATTGTAATAGCTTGCCAGAGGGTGACTCCCGGGATTTCCCGGAAAATTAACCAATGTCACCATTCCCGATCAAGTCAAACGAAAATTAGTTTTCGCGTGTGGATAAGTGTAAATTATGATCTATCACGTTTTAAGAAGCTTTTTAGTGATATTGCAATTAACGTGAAAGCTCTGGGACAAGACTTTGTTTGTGTGTCGCATTGGTCGGTTTTTCTGTTCGCTTGTTTTTGGTGCTTTGCCTCCCTCCCAAGAAGAATTTTACTGGTTTTTTTCTTTTCTTGGTGCTGGCGTTCTGCCTTCCGGAGGATGCACTCGAATGAGGTTTTAGGCAAAACATCGGTGCAAATAAAAAAAACTTCGAATGTGATTCAAAATGTTGTGTTCGGTTGTAAAAACAACGCGGAAGATTTTTTCGATTACCGCTAGTGCTTTTTTGGAGACAGGATTTGGGGAGATCCATCTGATTATAAATCATTCATAAATGCATATTTCCATATATTACTAAATACGCGACAGATTTCGAAACATCACATTTCGAAATCTGGAAGTGTGTTTGCAGTACCATTATTCATATGATAACGGTAGTGTTAACATGCGGGGTTTATTGTATGTGAAAGTAACCTCAGAATGGACGTGAATTACCAGGCATTCTGAAATGGGTAGCTGAATCTGCAATAGAGCTATCGCTTTCTAACTCCCGGACTAAACTTGCTTTAAATTATTACCAACATCAAGGTGGTAAGCAAATTTCTGCCATAATACCACTGCCGGCCAGTGGGGGTTAGATTGAATACATTTCCCGACCCCGAACTTCTATAAAATTCAGACATATTTGACACTAATATGTAATCACAACCGGATCAATTATATCTGATTCTTAAGCATCATTTTCTGACCCTTCATGTGAGGTTCTGCGGATATCAAAGAACTCTGTTGGTCCCGAATATCAAGCATTGTATCATGAAATATATTTCGGAAGTTTGACAGTAACAAATATCGTTTATTGCCCGTTTAAGGACAAAATGAACTGTTTTCCGCTGTCCCGCTAGATGGCTTGGTCGAACGTGTTGATTATAGCTGGATCGCTCAAGGATCGCTATTAAAATTTTTCCTAATTTAACTAGATTGCACGCTAGAATGCAGGATGAATATTTGGTATATTTTAGGCATGATTGGGTTGAACGGTGACTGGATTGTTAGCTGAATTATCGACTGCATCACTTTGTACATAAAATATTTTAAATCTTTATTTTCTTCTATCTAAATGATGCATCGGGGATGTAACGCTACAAATCCGCACACAAACTTCATTTATCTTCGATTTGTAATCCGAACTTTTTTTTGTTTTATTGATGTATTGTGATGCTTTTCGCGTTGTTATGAGGACATGGCCTTCTGAAAATTGTTTTGGTTCAGTGCTTCAAAGTTTCATTGGCATTGGTTGTCAGTGTCGATTGTCAATTTCGGTTGTCAAATCTGACGCCAAATGCTAATTTTTCTCTGAATTGGCAATATTCATTGTCGCTGGCGAGGGGGGCGACTCTATCTAAGATGCAGGAAAAATTTTGCTTTGTTGTTGTAAAATGCACTCGCGCTTAATAGATAGAAACACGATTTATTATGATTTTGAAAATTTCCTGCAAAAAGGTGGAGAGCGATGCGATTAGGTGGGCATAGATGCAAGAGATGAAAAAATATTTTTCGTAGATTGATTCGCTAGTGTGAGATTTTTCGATCATTTAAAATAAAGGTTTATATGTGTCGCACCCCTCGGTCGCTGGGAATATTTCTTTTCAAAACCTAATCAATACTCGAAGTTATTTGCGTGTTAGGGGGAACTCGTCAACTTGCTGCTATAACAAAACAAATTTTCGAAAAGAGGATCGATAAAATCGTAAGTTTTGCAGATTTAATCTAGTAAGAGAAAATATTTTCATTCGTTGTTTATATCAGGCTAAAATGTCAGAAATTTAGAAGCATTTTACCAAACATTCGACAGACAAGGCATTGTGTTCTCGTTGTTCAAAGGTGCTGGATTGCAAGGAATGCAGTACATCTGGACTGATTCCACATCTCGAATCAGCTCATAATATAAGCTTGAAACGACCATCAGAATCCCAGCTACAGCCGAGCTCTTCGAAAGGCTTGAAAACAGCAAAACAATCAAGTTTGTCAGGCTACCTAAAATCGAAGACTACAAATCAAGAAGACTGGCAACTGTTCCCTTCTCCCATACAAATGTCAAACGTCACTGATAACAGCGCCTCTGTCAATCAAAGGTGGAACTTTGAAACACAAGTGTTAGTGAGACTGCTTATAAACAGTGACTGTGTGTGTGACCTAATGTCACCGAAACGAATAATCATAACACGGTACTCGTTGTTGTTTTTGTTTTGCTTTACGCAATTTCACGGCAATTTGTATCTTAATCCCAGCAAGCCGATTGTTTTCCAACTTCAAACCGAAAAACATGTCATGGTGGATCAAGTAAAGGATTGAAACTTGGATCGATACCTAGTGAAAATAACTTTTACTTGTGATCGCGGAACCGAAATATTGTTTATTTTTTTTTCTGTTGGAAGCAATCAATTACAAGGAATTGGTAGCTTCCACCACCATTGGATGAACTACCATCATTCGGAAGTGATGAAAATTCAAAAATTGTTCGATGCCTTTCAGTTTATCCTTCTTTCCTTCTACTAATATCAGTTCTTAGTCGACCTGCAGAGTCACTTGGTTGGAAGAATTTACACTCGTTCGGCAATCTGTTTGTAGGTGATGTTGGCTATTTTGATTCTGTGACACTCGCATGAGTGAATGAATTTTCCCATGCTTGGTTGTCAGAACATGAAACCACCGGATAGAGATCCTCTGTATGCTTTAACAATTCTTGGGATCGACCGACCCCTTCCAGAGAATGATAATAACAGTGTCGGATTGGCCAGTGACATTCAAATGGTCAGCGAGTACTGTGCCAAGTTGCCGAGCGTCACAACTTAACTCCCCCCACTGTGGTCAGGTGCCAAAGCCATGCGAAACGGGCATGCATTTTACTAATGCACCATACGAATGTCCATACATGCATCACTAAATGGCTTAGGAAAAGTGGAAGATAATTTTGAGATAGCAAATTAATGATCGAGGAAGGTCCCACCATCATTGTGAATGGCATCATTGCCATAGTTTTAATTTTCAAAACAAATTTACTTACGCATTGGTTCAATTTCAGCTGCAATTTTACTCG